ATCATCTGACAAGTGCAGTAGGTGATCTAACTCATGCAAAGCCATCATGGGAATTTGACCTGGGAGTTTATTTTGATCTAACAAGTAGATTTAATCCAGAGAAAACCTTTTATCAAGGCAGAATTTTGGCGAGATCGGTGGTTGCACGATATCGAACAGATTTTCATCTGGAAAAAGGGTAACACACATATTTTCGTCAGGTGAACGCCTAATTAAAGTGCTTTTTAAAGAGGTAAGTTACTGTAAAAAGTTTCTTAAATTAATCTTAGGCACTACAATACCAGACTTACGTTGTAGAATTTCCTTTTGCTCGACAATGACTTTTGGTGTTTTGCATATTTTAGAAATATGGCCCACATAAGAACTGATATCCAAAAACTCGTGTTTTCGGTAAATGATTTTAAGAAGTGCCTTATTTTAAAGGTGTCGTTATACACGTCGAATATAATCTACACCTACAGGAGAAAGCTTGAAAACACCGAAAATTGTGGAAACTTTGCCGGAAATCAAATGACAATCTGAAATTAATTGTAATAAAATAGCAGAAATATCGAAGAAATTCAACAGAAGGAAAGTTCTCTTAATATAAAGAAACTGGGAGGTTACGATTTCACCTGACGATCATATTTACATTTATTGGTTAAATTTATAGCTATTTTTCACATTTTCGGAACTTTAGGCTTCTTTAAAAACTCGATATTTTGAAACGAGCAATAAGTAATATCATAATTCTTTAAAGTTCTAAATTCCCTAAAGGTTGTTCACTCTTATTTCAAGGTTTTCGTACATGTGTTAATGTCGGTTTGTGAGTGATTATTAATCTTTCGCAAATTTCGGAATTTTGCAGCCCGCACTGTAGGCCTACATAATAAACTTATCTGGGTACATGACTCGTTAAATGGTTTAGCATTTTATAGGTTATGGGTGCAGAGTTAGATGGGAAGGAAGTTAAAGATGAATGCACAGCAAGACTGGGTCACCCTCGGAAAAATAATGGGGGAATGGCGTAAATCGATGCAAAATGGATTAAAACATTTAAAACGGAAAAAAGCATGATTATGAAAATTATGCATAGGTGTCGTTCACTTCCTTAAAAAAGGCTTGGATTGAAGTACTCTCACTGACAAAATAATTGGCAACAAGCCCCCGCCACCGCAACACAACCATGCACGAGTTAGGTTGGGCCCTGAGCCGAGTAGTTCAGGTGGTGGGGCAATTAATTCGGACTGATTAATAGCTAACTTATCCGAGGTCCGGTCTCATATCATCCCGGCATGGGGTTGAAGTACGGTCGAATGACCACCTGATGAGTAGCCATCTTGATATCTCCTGTTTCAGATGGTGGTGCTTCGTAATTCAATTCCTACTTTGCTGATGAGCCAAACACCTCGCAGCTGTCAAGCAGCGGCAGAATATCGGAGAAAAACGTGTTTGGGCTTTTAGCTAGTGCCTGTTCTGCCGGTATGGTAAATGATACTTCGACTATCGATTTCGATTATGTCCACCATATGCCCAAGAGCAGGGACGTTGACTGGAGACAGAGACAAGATTTAAGTGAAATAGACGCGCAACTGTCTACCTTACTCTAAACCCTTACCCGTTTGAACGGGCGAAAGAGAAAGTTGGCATGACCGAACGGACTCGGGCGTAGGCCGCCTTCTCTAATGCAGGCCAGAACACCGCCTACATTAGTGTTAAGTGAAAGTAGACTTTGCGCGTGTACTACCGCACTATCTGCCCTCACTCACCTTCAGAAGATACCAAGACAGACCTCAGGAAACCAAGGTTGGTACTGCTACTGCTATTTCTACAAATACCAACAAGGAGTGCAGCCGAATGTTAGTAATACAGGCACTGTTTCTGACGTTAGTATTTGTCAGTGTCGCCGATTAAAGTCAACACTGCTACTCATATCACATCGATCTCAACAGAGAGGGTGAATCTGGGTTTATGCCATTCCAAGTAAAAACATGTTTGAGGCCTGGCGCACATAAGGGCTGGCATTGGTTTCCGCCCTCTCACCTCTGTCCACTAAAAACTTTGTCACATTTACAAAGTTTGGGCTGGGATACTGCTGCTAGAGGTAATATGCCACTGCTAAGGGTGTTAGCTCTAGTAATATATTCCTATCATTGTATCAATAGCTAGTATGCATCCTATTTTCGCAGCAAGCATAACCGGTGAGAATATGAGCTTACCCGGGTCCAAAACGTCATCTAGGCTGATTTGTAAGACAGCCGGGCGAGCGTTCACGTCCGGTAGGTAAGTAAGACTGTCAACAATAAGTTGCAGTGGGTAGACAAATACTCGTGCCCGTTACCAGGTCACCTAAGGCCACATAAAGTATACCACTGTCCGTCGGCAGCTTGTGAATAGTATGCGGTTATTCCGTAGTGGCTAATGCACTTCAGTCCAAACATTTACATCAAATTTCTGTCTGCGCCTGTAAACCCTTGAATATAATGATCTACTGCAACCTAGTAATTTGTTTCCTAGACAAGCAAAAGGCTAAAAATCACTTTTAGTTTAGGGTCTTGGAAAAGCAAGGGAGCTGGAAATGGTTGCACACATCTGCTAACCTGCGTGCTGGCAGATTAACCCCGGCAGCGAGAGTGGAGGTGCAACAAATCACCCTCAACACCCCCTCCAGATAGGCCTCCT